AGAAGAAACATGGACTTGATGATTAGATAGATCTTTGTCGGTCGTTGAATGAATAGAAGAAGAAAAAGAAAGCCGGATAGATTTATTTTTAAACACTATAACAAATGTGTGTGTGTGTATATGTGTCAATGGAACGAATGAATTTGTTTTTATTCAATAGTTGCATTGTCATTATTATTTCTTCTACTTTCTTTAATCATATTTCGCTTTTTTTTCCTTCTCAATAATAGAATGTCATTCAAACAGCCACTTTGAGAAGTTCAGACTAACTTCTACCAAGTCAAGTAGCAGTTGACCACTTGACAATATATATATATATGCTATTCAATAGTATATAGATTAAAAAAAACATACGACACAATCAATCATTCAATAATATACAAATGTATACACATATATATATGTCATTTTTTTTTTGCGGATTGTTTCTTTTATTTTTTTTTCTCTTTGTTGATCATAATAATGTTGATACAATAACAAAAACCCAAAACAAACAAAAATGATCAATAATATATCTATATTTCTTTTTGTTGTTATTTGTCATTGTTTCATTTTTGATTCTCGAATATATTTTTCCTTAGAAGAAAAATCCGAGGACTTTGCCACCAGTATGTTTTCGTCGAGCTTCTTCATGATCTAAAATTCCATGTGAGGTTGTTAAAACAACATATCCAAATTGACGTGATGGCAAAAGATTTTTTGTCCAAGTTTCAATATCACGAATTGGACAATCAAAACGTGGACTAATAACACCACACTAAATAACAAAAAAAAAAGATTATCAAATAGAAGAAGAATCGAATGAAATATTTACTTTATTTAAACGACCATTTAAATTAACAACAATTTTACCACTGCGATGATCATCAATGATTTCGAATTCACCAATATAACCATGTTTCATCATAACAGTAAGAAATTTGATGATTACTTTGGAACATGGTCGAATAATAACTTGACGTTTGTGGCGTTTTTCAGCATTATTTATTGATTTAAGCGCGTCGGCAAGTACATTCATATGAACCATGATGAAGATTTTATTATATATTTGTGTTCTAAGACACGCGAATCTGAAAAATAAAACAAAAACAAAATATATTCTTCTTTTAAATACAATAACCCATATCGATTAGTTTTGTGTATCCATATACTTTTCTATACTGTTCAACTTATTCTTTTTTCTATATAGTTAGAAATGTACATTGCATTGAATTGTATGATTTTGGAAAAATCTGAAGAAGAATATATATGAAATATGTGTCTTAATTAAGACATAGATCTCTAGGTTATAAAAACAATAAGAGAATGTAAATACAAAATAACAATTTGTATTGAAAAAAAGAACGAAAAACGAGAAAAAAGAAAACAACGAAAAACATAAAATTTCTCTATTGCTGTAACTAAAGAAGGTTTTATTTATTTATTTTTTTTTGCAACAGAATTTCTTATTCTGTTTTTTCGTGTTGTTCAGTTGTTGTATCGATTTGTGATTGTTCCTCAACGGGTACAAGTTCTGCATTTGGGTCACCAGTTGTACCAAATTCATTAAGACGTGTACGATCAACTCGATAGATATAACGTTGATAAAGATAAATAAAGAATATTATATCTAAACACACACACACAGAATGAATTTTAAAAAGAAATCTTCTTTTTTTCCTTACCATCACGAAAACATCCAAGTCGATACATTGTTGGCATTTTAATAACAAAGCAAATAAATCATCAATAAATGTATTTAATGCTTTATATGTCATCATACGCCATGGTAAATGCGCTACTGATTTAAGTTTATAATTAATAAATAATTGTGGTGTCATCATAATAAAACCTTAAGAATGAAAAACAAACATATTTTTATTTTCAAAAAAACATGTTTTTTCTTACCAAATGTTAATAAAAATCCATAAACTGTACTTAAACAAAATGAATACCAACTTTTTTGTTCGTGATACATCAATAAATAACATGCATAACCAATAACTAATGGAAATAATGCCCATGAAAGATATTTAAAAGCCATCTAAAGAATTTAAATTAAATTTAGAAACGAAAAAAAGAAATTTTTATAACAAACTCGATCATAATCTGATGTTGATGTAACAGTATAAGATTCTTTATAAACATATTTATATTTTGGAATTAAACCCAACCATGTTTCATTTGGTACACGCTATTAATAATTAGGAAAATTAATTTTAGTTTACCAAAAAAAACAATTTTTTACTTCGAAATTAAGAATTTTTGGTACTTTCCATAATTCAATAAGTATACCAACACAAACACTAATACGAACCATTGTATTTGTTTCATTATCAAATACATATAATAGAACAATTAAACTTTGAAATATATTGAAGAAAACACTTCGAACAGATAAACCTTCAAGAGATTTTCGTGTACGCCAAAATTGAATATCTAAATTATTTCAAATTGATCATTATGAGACTAATTTTCATCAATCATATTCTCAAAATAAATGTCTTTTCTTTTGAGACAATTCTCATAAATCATTCGAATATGATTTATATTATTCGTTTGAACTGAAAATTTCAGGATATAATT